TTCGCCAGCTACCATGTAATTATAAAGGAGCCCTGCCTCTCAAGTGAAGTACCATTAAGAAAGACTGTGTCATTTAATTATAAAGAAGTCACAGAAAGGAGTGTGTATCCCTTAAAGAAAAAAATACAAATAAGAATTCACAGCTATGTTTGGTTGGGAAACCTGAAAGAAAAACAATAGTGAAATTCCAATTTCTGAAAGCGGAGATAAGCAGACAAAAAATAAGAAAACTACCAAGAGAAATTTACCCCTTTAACTTTTTGGATTTCTGATGAGCTCTTCTTCCTGTTAATTGCCTAAACTATGGGCCAGCTCTGGTGTTTCCACTAATGTCAGAAAGCCTTCCAAAACTGGAGAGGGGAAAATGAAAAGATGAATCTAGGAGATGAAAGGTGGTCACTCTTCCCCCTACGTCTTCTTGCCCCTGACAAGGTCGTTACAGTTGTTTGTTGCCAGGCAGGTTGTCCTAGTTTGTTCTTCATTGCTGTGACAAAATACTCTGACCACTACCAACTTGGGGAGGAAAGGGTTTATTTAGCTTACATATTCCAGGTCACAGTTCATCTGGGAGCCCAAGGTAGAAACTCGGGGCAGGAACCTAGAGGCAGGAGCTGGAGCACAGGCCATTAGTGGAACTCTGCTTACTGGCTTGCTCTCCTGGCCACTGCTCAGCCTGCTACCTTATGAAACACAGGCCCACCTGCCCAGGGGTGACACCACCCACAGTGGGCTAGGCCCTCACACAATACTCAATAATCAAGAAAATTCCCCACAGACGTGGCCAAAGGCCAGTCCAATAGAGGCAATTCCCCAACTGAGGATCCCTCAACCCAGGTGTGTCAAGTTGACACTAAAGCTATCCAGCACACAGGTCTAGTCAGGATTTCACTGGAAGAAAGGCGAAGCAATGTGCATTTAGAACTCAGATTCATAGGTTTATAAAAATGAATATGCCTATGTGAAATAATTTTAGATGAAATATGTTAACATTTCTGTTGTCAAATTTTATTATAAATTTTTTCCATCTAAAACTTGCAGGAGAAATGAAAACTTTTAAATAATTTTTGTATTAAAGCATTTTCAAATATAGTTAAGACTTCATTATTATAGTAATTGATTGTTAGGTAATAGTAGGGAAAAGTCATAGTAAGTCTCAAATCTAGTCTAAGTTTATAGTTTAAAATGACTTTAAAGATAGGATACTGAATGGACTCCAGATAAGTTCTATTTATTTCCTTATACTCAGTATTCAGGAGCTTCTTTATCTTTCTATGTATACTACCCCAAAGTGTAAGAATAAAGTATTATGATTTAGTGGCACTATTCTTGTTTATATTCTTGCTGCAACATAGTCCAAAGAGATGGCTATTTGTTTAAAAAAATCTTGTTATTGGCAAATTGTTAGCTGCATGGTAAAAGCATTGAAATTCAGCATGAAGGTGTCCTGCTGTGGCTTCCTTCTCCTCTCTCCCTTTCTGCCGTTTCACTTTGTGAGTCCTGACTCCCGTCTTTGGCCTTCAGACATGGGTGCTCTCCTTCATGCGCCCTGTTCTTGTGCTACACGTTTGTTCTTGAGTGGGGCTGGTGGGAGTGTAGGAGTCGCTTCTTCACGCTGTACTCAGCTTGCTAACAGCAAAGTATTCATGTGTCCTCATCTTTGTGATCCAGATTTCTGAATTTTATGCAATAATGCAAGTGACAAATGCATTTAATTTTATATTTGTTGAGTAATAGTGGTTTTTGATAAAAATGTTGATTTTTTTTATCAAATTAACACTTTACACCGTTTAAAGAATAAAATAGTGCTGGTAAGATCAATAGTTTTAGCTGTGTGAGAAGCAGATAATAAACACTGCAGTTTGATGTCCATTGTCCTCAATTCTGTTTCCATTTGTCTGAGACAATTACTTGTAATTCTTATTGCTGTTTCTTTTCATATTTAACTATTATTTTTAAATTTTATTGATCTAAGAATTTCATGGAATGTATTTTGCTTATATTCAGACACCTCCCCCTCTATATTATATTTTTTAAAGGTTTTATTTTATGTGTATGTATGTGTGTCTCTATGAGTGTGCCACATGTGTGTAGGTACCTGTGGAGGTGAGAAGGCATCCAATCCCTGGAGCTAGAGTTACAGGCTTCTGTGAGCCACCTGATGTGGGTGCTTGGAACTGAACTCAGGTCCTCAGGAAGAGCATCAAGTGTCCTTAACCACCTCTCCAGCCCCTAAGTTTTCCTAAACTCTAACAGAAAATCTTACTGTTCCCATTCCTTAAAAATTCTAGCATATTGTGTGTGTGTGTGTGTGTGTGTGTGTCTTCTAAGAGACATCCCTGTGGGACAGCTTTCTATCTTCCCCTTCTGACAGTTGGCCTTTAAATTTTCTGCATGTACTCACACAGGACTTTAGTGACATCCTTGGAACTCCTTTTACACAATAGAATTGTGATCTTAAGTTCGAATTTCTTACCCTTTTGTCATTTTATTTACTGTATTGTAAATTAGTTTCTTGGAGAAGTTTTATATCAGAGAAAATTTGAAAGCACATTCAGAAAATGTTTTTTGATTTTACCCCTTTCTCATGGTTTGGCTTGCTAGTCATTCATTTCAGGTGTTTGGAAGTGTGAGGCCATTTGCTTCTTGATCTGGTGTGCATGGTCTATGGTTCCCTCTGGAAACTTACCTTGTCTATGTCATAGGCAAATAGTTTTTTTTACTTTAATAATATGTTCTATATTTACTTTGTAATATGTGGTGAAATAATGACATATTCTTAGGACACTACTTTCTTGAGTCAGTGTTCTGAAACCTCATGATGCTGGGCCTGGTGTGAGTTAAATTTGGAACTTCGCTATTTATGTGTGGGGACTCTTGGATTGATTTTCTGATTTACCTAACTTTACTATACTTTGATTCATTTTCATTGTTTTACTTTCTGAGACATTTACACATTACAAGTGTAGCATCTAATTCTTCTATATATGCTTATTTTAGTCTTAGCTAATTTACCTTGGACTATCCTTGATCCAAAATATAATATACAAGACTTGTTTGTGTTGCACCCTGAGGAAAAAATGTCTATTCAAAGTATGGTCACATGTCAATGAAAAATTAGCTGCTTATTTTTAGGCTGAGTGCAGTGCTGATTTTGTGATAGAGTTATTCTAATCTCTACAATTACAGCTTAAAATCAGAAGAAATGGTTCTGTTCCAATTATTAAGAGGACCTCAGGTTAAGAATAGTGAGAACACTTTAGTTTGAATTAAAGTTAATCATATGGATGTCAATTTTTAAAGCATAACACTTATAAGTTGCTTTTCATTACATGTCCACATGAGAATACACACACAGCTGGGTGTGGAGCTCTTGCCTGTAATCTCAGCACTTGGAAAGCTGAGGCAGGAGGATTACTGTGACTTTGAGCCAAGCTGGGTTACATAATGAGTTCCAGGCCAGTCTAAGCTACATGCTGAGACCTTGTCTCAAAAACAAAGTAAACACAATTAATAACAGCCTGAGCAACATTAAACAGTAATGCAGATTCTCTGAAAAGAGATTCATGTGTCTTCAAAATGCATATGACTGCATTTTGATTTTTCTTTTTTGTTTTGATTTTGCAAACATCAAACCAGTTCTACATGCATGAAGTTTAAGGAATAAAACGTGCTCCATTTCTGTTGTATGTTAATAGTTTTAGTCACTAATTTTTAAATATTTATTATTTTAATTTTCTTAAGTGTATGAGTATTTTGGCTGATGTATATAAGTGCACCTGTGTTGTGCAATACCCATGGAGACCAGAGAGGGCGTCACATCCCTTGGAAATGGAGTTCCAGATGCCAGTGCCCTTAACTGCTGAGCCATCTCCCTAGCCCCCTTAATCACTAATTTTAAAACAACTCTCTTGGGAGCTGGGGAGATGGCTCAGCGGGTGGCATGAGAACCTGCGTTTGAATCCTCATCACCCATGTCAAAAGTCAGGCATGGTTCCATGTGACTATAACCCCAGCATCTGGGAGGTGGAAACAGGCAGATCTGGAGCTTGCTGGCCAGCCAGCCTAGCCAAAATGGTGAGTGGATGGTTCAGTGATAGACTCCAAGTGAAGGAAGTAAGTCTGACAGAGACAGAGGCAGATACCTGGTACCCTGCTCCTGCCTCTGTTTGTGTGTGTGCAAGTGTCTGCAAATACATACTCACCAGCACGCAACACCACCCCCCCTAAGAAAAATAAAAATAGAAGGACTTTATGAGTCTTGAGACAGTTTCTGAACCAATTGAACTGTAGTGGGTGGGTTTTATTCATCAAAAACAATGGTGAGACCACAGCAATAGTATTTCAATCTATGTTGCTTATTACCTTGGGCATAGTATAAATACCTGCTATTAAGGGAGAAATATTATTCCCTTAAAGTCTTTCATTCAAAAATGCAAAACCGTTTAATGTGAGAATAGGAAAGGTGGGCATTAAAAGCCTTTTGGGGGCATGTCTTCAGGCATCTACTACATGTCCCCTCTTCTGCCCCCATTTTAATGAAAGAGTGGAACAGCTCAGTACAGAGATAGTGTTTTAGATGATGAGATTTCAACACATGCACACACACACACACACACACACACACACACACACACAGCCCTCACCTAATAGACCCATGTGGTTAGGACTATAAAATGCTGTATTCTGTCCCTCCTTTTACATTTTCTGTGCCCTGAATGGTTCACCCTCAGACAGAGGGAACCTTTTCCATCAGTTGTACAGCTGCTGTACAATAATTATGTAATTTATACTTCCTCTTGATGTTGTAGTTGTTTTTGTTTTATGTTTGGAACCAATAATATTACTTTATTTGGAAATGCATTTAATGAAACCTGAGATAACCTGATGGTCTTACTTTAAAAGGAACCCTTTGGCATGAGAACATGATCTATATGAACATCATATTCTGTGTTAAAGAGAAGCATATGTGAAAACCTGCTCTGACATTTTCAACTTTTCAGATTAGAAAGAGAATATTTCTCCCAAAACAAGAAACTAAATGAAGAGATCGAAGAACAGAAGAAAGTAATTACAGACCTTTCAAAGAGACTCCAGTATAATGAAACAAGTTGCAGTGAGTTACGGGAGGAACTTGTAATGGTAAGGATGAAGGAGAAAACCCTATGGCAATTGCTTTATTGGGCCATATCTGATGTATGGCGTGTTTGCGCTCTACTGTATATCATGAGATAGAGGTGTGAAAGTAATTATAGTGGCATCGTTATAAAATTTCAAAATTGGAAATGCTACTTACACCAAATATGTACATAATAAAAACTCTCTGATTTGGGACAACTGGGGAAACTAACAGAATTAACAAAAATTCTGAATTATAGAATACTTAAAAAATTTTTTTTGAGACAGGGTCTCACTATGTAACCCTGCCTGGCCTGGAACTTCCTATGTAGACCAGGCTGGCCCCAAAGTCACAGAGATCCACCTGTCTCTGCCTTATGAGTGCTGGGATTAAAGATGTTCACCACCATTCCCAACTTTTTTTTTTAACTTGAAGTGCATAAAACAGTTTTACTGTGTGGAGGAGGATCAGGGTTTGTAGTTAATAGATTTAAACGATTTTAGTGACTCAATTTTCTAATCATTTTATACTTGATCACTTTGTCTCTATAATACCCCAGTAAGCTAGCTTTCACAAAAAGTTTTTATTTCAAAAATATTGATATGTTCTTGTCAGCTACCTTTTTTTTTTTGAAAATCATTGATGTTTCCTTTTACATTCAGAGTAAGTCCAGCTTCCTGTCATACAATCTAAGCCCTTTTCATTTTTGGCTTCATACTAGCTTTTCTCTCTGCTTTGACTTTTATCTGTCAGAGTGTTCCTGGCTCTTTAAACACATGTTTTCATTATTTGTATTTTTCAGATTATGTTTTTTACTCATATTGACTAAAATGCTCCTTGTTTCCCATTAACAGATTGCTGTAGAGCTTATAATGTCCAGTTCTGAGATCTTGCCATCTGTGAAACTTTCCAAGATTCTATTTTCTTTATGTTTCCTATCCACCTTCAGTGAGAATGCTGCCTCTCCCCAGTTGGTATTTCTTTAGTTCTTAGCTTAGCATTCTTGTAATAAAACCCCACTAAGAACTGATATCTCTTCTCTCTTCCAGGAGATTTTCAATGTATCGAGGTTAACATGGTTCAGTTTTCACATCCAGATTTCTCTGTAGTACTTACTGATGTGAATATATTTATTTGTTTGATGCAGAATAGTTATACCTTGCAGTTTTCTGGGAACCATAGCGGGGATGAAGAGATAAAGTTCAGTAATGCTTTCCTCCCTCCTTTCCTGTTCCCCTCATCTATGCCTTCCTCAGAGACTTGCCTACTTCCGTTTCAGTTATGTCCTCAGCCCAAAGAGATCTCACTATCGAGGATATAATTATTTTTCCTCTTCAAAAAGGTGAAATAATAATTCCATGTCATATTAAGAATTATTAACTCACGCTTGGTTCCCAGCACCCATATGGTGGCTAACAGCCACGTTTAACTCCAGTTCCAGGGGATTCAACACCCTCTTCTGTCCTCTGCTGGCATTGTACAACATGGGTGCACTTGTATATATGTAGGCAAAACACTCATACGCATAAAATAAAACTAAATAAATTTTTTGTCGTGCAATAAATCTTTATTTATAACAATAAACACCTGTTCAAGTTTGTCCCTCAGACCGTAGTTTATTGACTCCTGGCCTAGACTTAGAGTTGGCATAGCTTGTCTTTCACCTCTTCTTGATGGAAAGACAATCTTATTCCAAGAGGACTCTCCCACAGGGAGAGAAACAGTTGCATCCAATTAATCAAAAAAATAGTCAAGATAAGAAGAGGAAAATCCATAGGAAAATCAAAGATAAATATAAATTAATATATGTGAAGTCAAGCATGCTATATTCTAAAATTCACAGTAAGTTTCAAGGGAATCATCTCTCCATTCAAAAATCTAAGCCCAAATCATGACAGTGGGGTAAGGAGGACTTTTGAAAAGTATTTTATTTATTATTTTTATTTTATGTGCCATGAGTGTGTTGTCTGCATGGAGATAGTACACCAGTGTCATGCAGTGCCCGCAGGGGTCAGAAGAGGCCATCTGATCTGAAGGAACTGGAGTTACAGATGGTTGTTAGTTACCATGTGGGTGCCGGGAATTGAAACCAGGTAGAAGACGTTTTGAAAATATTATGTTTTTTATTGAGTTTTTGTGCATTTCATATAATAGTTCTTAATCTAATTTAGGTCCCCTCCCCCATCTATGTCTCTCTATAGCCCCCTCCCCCCACCAGAATACATGCATTCTGTCATATATGTTAAGTCCTATCTGGTCAAGCATTTGTACCCAGATGTCCTTCAGTACAAGTTCATCCACTGGAGTCTAGTCAGCCTATCTAGAGATCTTAAGGAAGGCTACTCTCCCTCACCCAGCAATAATCAGTTGCCAATAGTTCCTAGGCTATTATGGGAGCCTGCCTATTTCCCTCTTTTGGTGCTGGAATTTTGTCTATTTGAGTTGGCTTGGGTCTTGTGCATGCTGTCACCATTGCTACAAGTTCATCTGAGCAAGTTCCCAGAGGCCTGAAAGCCTCTGTTTCCTTATGTTCATGCATCAACTCTGGCTTTTACAATGTTTCTGCTCCCTCTTCCTCAATGGTCCCTGAGCGTGGGTGGGTGAGATTTAATATAGGAGTCCTATTCAAGGACATGTACTCTGAAGTCTCTTATTCTCTAAAACTGCCAGTTGTGGCCTTCTGTGTGCACCATACTCTTGTTGTATAAGGAAACTTCTCTGGTGAGAGTTGTGGATGTATTAGTATTTTCTCTATCCCCTTGTGCGTGTCAACTTGACACACCTGGCTTGAGGGAGCCTCAATCGGGGAATTTCCTCTATTGGACTGGCCTGTGGCCATGTCTGAAGGGCATCTTCTTGATGAGTGATGTGGGAGGGCCCAGCCCACTGTGGGTGGTGCCACCCCTGGGCAGGTGGGCCTGTGTTGCATAAGAAAGCAGGCTGAGCAGGGACCAGGGGAACAAGCTAGTAAACAGCATTCCTCTATGGCCTGTGCTCCAGCTCCTGCCTCCAGGTTCCTGCCCTGTGTTCCTACCTTGGGCTCCCTGATGAACTGCGACCTGGGAGATGTAAGCTGAATAAACCCTTTCCTCCCCAAGTTGGCAGTGGTCAGAGTATTTTTTCACAGCAATGGAGGAACAGACTAGGACACCCTTGTTCTACTATGTTCCATGAGCCTTAGGTGTAGAGGTTCCAAGGTAGATGTGTCACTTAGGGCTGAGCATCTCTCAGACATATATTCTCTGTGTGTGACCACTTGTGGAACTCTATAATAGCCTCCATCTGTTGCAAAAAGAAGCTTCTTTGATGAGTGGTGTAGTCTGTAAATATAAGGATTGATATTTAGCATATAGTAAGAAGTTTCATTTGTCTTGGGATATGAAAGAGATAGGGTTTTCTCTAGGATCTATGTCCTCTCCTGCCATGTATATTTAGCTGAGTTTACAGTGCCACCCATGAGTTCCCTCCCACTGAGGGAGCTTTAAGTCAAATTAGAGAGATGTTGATTATCTCCTAGATTAACAGTGCTTGCTGTGCCAATCATTGTGGTTATTTAGGCTTTAGAACTGGGTTGGACCTTTGATTGATTTTCTCCCTTAGCAGCTCACATAGTATCCTCTAGAGCTGAGAGCTAGTCTTTAGGGGAGAAGGCTACCAGGTCAGTTCCAGCTCCATTGTTCTAAGTCCTGTGTCCAAAGTATGCCCTATCTTCAGCTCTAGGATCTTACCTTCAAGTTCTAGGAGATAACCAAGGGCTCTGGCAAGAGCTCATGTTATTTTGGGAGTCTCTTGGACTACTTTGACCAACAGCTTGAAGAGGAAATTTCTCCTGTCTGGCACTGTGGTCCTTGTTGTATAGCCTTTAGGTATACACATGCACTCATGTTCAGATAGCATATGTGTATTTTTCAGGGGATTTTTGAGTTAATACATTTCCTCTGACTTTCTATACCACCTAAGCTTTATTTATCTCCTCTCTCTCCCTGTCTAATGTCCCTCCTCCCTCCCCAGTTTAAGTGACTTTATTTTCCCCTTGAGAATATCTGTTTCCTACTATCCCCCCTCTCTTGAATTCCTTCTTCACCTTTACGCTCATGGTTCCTTGTATGTTCTTCCCTCCTCTCTTCTCAGTTGAATACCCCCATTTATCCCATTTTCCCCTCGGTAACGTCTCTTTCCTGATATGCCTCTCTTTCGTATTCTTTCCCTTTCCCTTTGTGTTTCCTGTCCATCTACCTTTCTCCTGCTGTTACATCAGGATATATACTCACATACAAGGGATTGGTCCTAAGATCTGCCAATGAGGGAGAACGTGTGTCACTTGCTTTTCTGGGTCTGTGTAACTTCACTTAGATTGTTTCCATTTCTTAGCTATTGTGAAAAGAGCAGTTTCAAACATGGATATACAGGCATCTCTACAGTAGGATGGGTCCTTTGGGTATATGCCAAGGAGTGGTATAACCAGATCATATGGTAGATTTAATTTTAGTTTTTTAAGAGTTTTCCACACTGCTTTCCATAGTGGTTGCATGAGTTTACAACTCCACTAGCAGTGAATAAGGGTTCCTCTTTCTCCACATCCTTGCCAGCATTTGGTATCTTTTCTTGATCTTAGCTAGTCTGACTAGGGTGAGATGAAATCTTAAAGTGGTTTTAATTTGCATTTCCCTAATTACTAACAATGTTCAACACTTTAGAGTTTCTTAGCCATTTTTATTTCTTCATTTGAGAACTCTCTGTTCAAGTCCTTAGCCAATCTTTATATTGGGTCATTTATTTTCTTGTTTCATTGTTTTTTGAGTTCTTTGTATATTCTGGGTGTTAATCCTATGTCAGATGTGTAGCAGGTGACAATTTTCTCCCACTCTGTGTGTTTCCTCTTCACTTCCTTGGTTGTTTCTTCTGCTGTACAGAAGCTTTTAAGTTTGATGAAGTTCCACTTGTTGATTGTTGATCTTAATTCCTGAGCAACTGGTGTCCAATTTAGAAAGTCCTTTCATATATATAT